GCCTAGCACTCTTCATATTGAAGCGCTCCAGTACACGTTCAATGTACTTCTTCTTATACAAATAAATTTTTCTTTCATCTCTGAGACGAGTAATTCTCATGCCCAAAATTTGCTTGGCATGACCCATGTCTTTCATAGAAAATGACTTACACAACTGTTTCTTCAGCTCGTCAATCTTGGAAGTATTCTTACACACAATCAACATATCACCCACAAACACTAAAAGGATGATAAAATCATTGTTAGAAATTTTTTGTACAAATACACAATGATCTGAAGAAGTCTTCTTATACTCTTGCTCCCCTATAACAGATTCAAATTTCTTGTACCACTGTCTCGGAGCTTGTTTTAGTCCATAAAGACTATTTTTCAGTTTGCACACAAAATTTTCTTTACCTTCTAATTTGAAGCCCTCAAATTGTTCCATATAAATCTCTTCACCTAGGTCACAGTGAAGGAAAGTCGTCTTCACATCCATCTGCTCAATCTCTAAATTAAGACGAGCAGCCAAACCTAAAACAATGCAAATCGAGGACATTTTTACAATAGAAGAAAATATTTCATCAAAGTCAATACCCTTTATTTGACCAAATTCCTTAACAACCAATCTAGCTTTGTATCTGGCTTCAAGTTGTGTTTTTCAACTTTAACTTGGAACACACACTTGTTCTTCAAAGCTCTCATGCCCTTAGGATATTTTTCTAACTCATAATTGTGGTTCTCATATAGAGACTTCATCTCATCTTGCATGACTTCAATCCATTGATCCTTATCCTCATCTTCCATGACCTCCTCATAATATTCAGGTTCTCCCCCGTCAGTGAGTAGCACATACTCATTGGGTGAATAATGGGAGGAAGGAAACCGCTGACTTGTGGACCTCCAAGGTGGAATATTTTATTCGTCCAAAACATAATGAGCAACAGGATCATCAATAATAATATCGTTGTTATTATCAACATCATTATGTTGATTCGATAGATGATTCTAGGCACCACCATGATTATCAAGCCCAACAACATCATGCACACTTGTGTGAGGAACTCCATCATGATGAACTATACCATCAACACTTGAAGATTCTACCTTCTCCGCTTTGTGAATATCTTCAATTGTTTGATTCTCCATGAAAATAATATCACGACTTCTCACAAGTTTCTTTTCAATTGGATCATATAACCTGTAAAAAGTTCATGTACGCCATATCCAATGAAGATGCATTGCCTTTTCTTGGCATCTAACTTTGACCTCTCATCTTTAGGCACATGTACAAAAGCTTTGCAACCAAATACAGTCAAATCGTCATAGAATAAATCCTTTCCATACCAAACATTATTAGGTACATCACTATGCAAAGCAACAGAAGGAGATAGATTAATAACATGTGCACCGGTCAATAAAGCCTCGAGTTCAGCAACTTTGCTTCAGAAAGCAAACTTCTAACTCTTTCCATCAAGGTCCTCTTCATCCTCTCAGCCAAACCACTAAGCTGAGGAGTCTTGCGAGAAGTCTTCTGGTGTCTAATACCTTGATGCTTGCAGTATTCCTCAAATGGTCCACAACATTCACCACCATTAATATCAGTACGAATACATTTAAGTTTCCTTCAGTTTCTCTTTCAAATGAAACCTGAAACTGCTTTAAGACACCTAACACTTGGTCTTTAGTCTTCAAGACATAGACCCTAGTTTTATCGAGCAATCATTAATGAAAGTGACGCAGTAGAGTGCACTACCCAATGTCTTTCTCTTAATTTAGACCACATAAATCAGAATGCACCAACTCAAGCAACTCTGTCTTTCTAGAAGTAGGGTAGGACTTAAAAGAAATTCTATTTTGTTTACCAGCCAAGCAGTACTCACACTTTTCTACTTTAGCACTTTTGAAATTTGACAAAAATTTCTTCTTGGCTAGAATATTCAGTCCTTTCTCACTTATGTGACTAAGTATCTTGTGCAATAACGTTGAGGATTTATCGCTCTCAAATGCATTCACCATATCAACACAAGCAGATGTCGTAGTCCAGTATCGACCATGATGTTTGTTACCACGAGCCACAACTAAGGAACCTTTAATGAGCTTCCATTTTCCATCCGCGTTGGTACTAACATATCCTTCATCATCTAAAACGCCAACGTCTATTTGGTGCAGACGAACATCAGGAGCATATTTCACATTGTTCAAAACTAGTTTAGTTTTAACACTAGTTTCCAAACAAATTGTACCAATACCAACCACCCTAGAAATATTCTAATTACACATACTCAAGGTTTCAAAATAACCAGGAGTATAGGAAGAGAAAAAACCCTTCCTTAATGTCACATGAGATGCGGCACCATTGTCTACAGCCTAGCTTGACTCATCACAAGCAATATTTATCATATCCGCATCAAAGACAGAACAAGATCTTCGGTGGTAACGGTGTCTAGGAAATTTTCATTGCCATCTTCCTTAGTTTTCTCTTTTGTTTTTTTCTCCCTCTTCAACTTCATGTAGTACTTCTTCGTGTACCCTTTCATTTCACAATGATAGCACTCAATATCCTTAAGTCTTCCTCTGGTTTTGCACCTATTTTTTTCTCTATACTGAGAACCACGATTTTTGTTTCTCCCCCTAGGGCCAGTTATCAGGACATCTGACGAAGAAGAACCTTCAGTTTTTCTTCTCATATCTTCGTTCAAGAAACTGCTCTTGGCGGAATCCATAGAGATCACATCATCCTGAGCAGAATTTGACAATGAAGTTCTAAATGTTTCCCAATAGTCTGGTAGGGAACCAAGTTGAAGCAAGCCTTGAATTTCTTTATCAAATTTGATGCCCATACCAGATAATTGATTCATGTTCCCCTGAAAATTTTTCAGATGGTCTATCATCGGAGAACCATCATGATATTTTAAACTCAACATCTGCTTTACTAAAAATTTTTTGTAATTGCCAGTATTCCGAGCATACAAACATTCAAGATACTCTCATAGGGTTCGAGTATGTATCTTCCCGGAATTATGGTTCAACACATTATCGTCAACTCATTGCCTAATGAATCCACAAATTTGTCTGTGGAACAGATTCCAATATTCATTGTTTTATTATAAGACTTTACAGTGGTAAATACTGGTTTATAAAAGTTCTTGACAGAAAGAATATCTTCCATTTTCCCCTTCCAAATGACATAATTAACACCATTCAAAGTAACCATTCTACTTGTGTTGACTTCCATTGTTTTTCACCAAATAATTTTGTTATTGCAAATCAAAGTAAATCTTTTCTGATGTGGAAGTTTAGACTGTGCTGCAACCACAGAGCATACTTAGATAAAACCTTGGCTCTAATACTAGTTTGCTGAGAAAAAGGCGGATAAACACAACAAATATATATGGTAAAAGTAATGGAAATAAAATAAGAAAATAACGACACCAATAAATTTACGTGGAAACCGTTCTCAATAATGGAAAAAACCACGGGCCAAGGAGCAACTCAAATCACTATAGTAAGGAATTTCACACAGTGTAGTCACGAATACAATACTCAAAGTGACTACTACACATTCATAAGTAACAACACTCTTTTGGTTTCCACCTTACTAAAATATCGCTCAGACTCTATTTTTCTTTAAAGACTATTTTTTTGTATAGTTTATGGAATACATTACTTTGCTCTCAAAGTGGTTTTTCTCTCTAGCTTTGGTGTGTTCTACAAATGAGCAAGAATGCTCTATTTATAGAAGGATAAAACCATTCTTATGTCACTAATGACATATGTAAACATAATAAAGTCTAAAATGGTTTCAAATCGTACCAATTTGCCAACTACCTAATCTTTTATTTTCAACTCTAATTACTATTCCTTTTTAACAATTACTTATATCAATTGAATAACAAAAGTTGACCAAAAAATGGGATGAATTCAACAGGGAACCGATGGCATGGTCTAGTTTTTATTACATTCCTGGCAACATCTGTTTGTCTATCGCGCAAAGTACAGGAGGGGGTGCCTATGGTTTCAACCGCTTATGCTCACTAGGAATAGATCAGATGCAGAGATGTGATTGTCCACTCCGATATATCTTGGATGATCCGAATGACCAATTCGGCAGCTGAAGACAAAAATTCTCTGGGCAAAACTGTAACCACAAGTCGCGAGAAGTTGAGTCTTTCACATTCCACGAAATTTTGGATAACTGGCATGACTCAGATTATGAGTCTCACTGGGATGTTTCAGAGGATTGGTGCAGACAGAATTGTTTGACTGATTGTTTTTGTGCTGTTACCATTTACAGTGAGGACTGTGGGAGGAAAACATATTCTCTTTCAAATGGGAGAGTAGGTCTAACGTTCGGAGGGAAGGCTTTGATAAAAATAAGGAAAGACAACTCCACTGTGTGGGAATCACCAAATGTTGAAATACGAAAAAATAAATATCAATCTACTTTTATCTTATTTCTTTAGGCACTTGTGTACATTTTTAAGTTTAAAGGGAAAAAACGAAAGAGGACTGAACCGACGAATTCAGCTGTTCCGGGAGTGAACTTATCAAGTTTTTTAGCTACAAAGAGATAGAACATGCTACAAATGGATTCAAGGAAGAGTTAGGAACTGGAGCTTACTCAACAGTTTAGAAAGAGGTTCTTGATGATGAAAATGGGAAAGTCGTTGCTGTAAAAAAACTCCGAAACATGGTAACAGAAGCAGAAGGAGGAGAAGTATTTGAAGCTGCAGTGAATTCAATCAGCACGACTAATCACAAGAACTTTGTCCAACTCCTTGGATTCTGCAACGAAGGCAAACACCGCCTTTTGGTATATGAACAAATGAAACCGGCTTGATAGCACACTTGCTATTCAAAGACTCTAGGCTTAGTTGGTCCAAAAGAGTACAAGTTGTCATTGACACTGCGAAAGGACTTTGCTATTTGCATGAAGAGTGCAGTACTTAAATTATTCATTGTGACATCAAGCCCCAAAACGTTTTTTTGGATGAAAAATTGACAGCAAAAATAGCAGATTTTGGTATGGCCAAGCTATTGAAAAAACATCAGACTCAAACAACAACTAGGATACGTGGAACAAAAGGGTACGTAGCTCCATACTGGTTCAGAAGCATGCCTGTAACTGTGAAGGTTGATGTGTATAGCTTCGGGGTCTTGCTCTTAGAGTTGATTTGCTGCAGATAAAACTATGAGCAGGATGTGGCGAACCAGAACGAAGTGATACTACTAGAATGGGCTTACGATTGCTATAAAAGAGATGAGTTGCATTTACTTGTAGGCGCTGATGAAGAGGCATTACAAGATATCAAGATATTTAATGCTTGAAGGTTCTGTTGAATTCACAAACTCCACTTCCAATATCTTCAACAATTTCTAGACATATGATATCAGGCAAAGACGATAGAGTACTCCTCTTTTGATCCCCCGTAGACTTACTCTTTGGACGATAATAATGATTTAAAACACCATCAAAATAATGACTTAGCCTGTGATAATTTTCTGAAATTGAAGGAACATTAGGAGGTGTCAAAACAAGTCTTTGATTGCTCCTTTTCAATATGTAAACTGAACCAAACGCATTGAATATCAATCGATAACCCGAATTGGCTTCATCTCCTAAATCAGAAGTATGACTATTGTAATACTCAGCATCATAATCAATATTCATTAACTTGGATTGAGTAAGAAGAACTAAATTCTTATCACTTAACATAGGAAGATAAAATCTACCAGAAACAAAGAAAGACTCAGATTTTCGAGCAACAAGCTTGTTATTAATCTGTAGTATTTGAGTAGGCATAAGGGTATCAGTCGGATATCGAAAACATTCCCATAATACTGAAGAACCAACACCAACAAGAACAAAGTTTCCTGTATCGTTCATGACAGCATAAGCAACATTAGAATCAATCCTACCAGTGCTCCACATGATCATTTTCCCTTTAGGATCGCGGAGAATCAGTCCCTTTTAAGGATTTAACTCCGCGATTGAACCTCGTGGCACAAGGTTACCACCATTCACATACCAAATTATGTTGGCATCTTTAATCTTAGCATAGTATATGCAAAGCAAGAACTGATTTTGACTTTGAAGTTTCTTGAATCCAAATGCAAAATCTCCAGATTGAGAAAGTCAGGATGTTGTTTCATCATTTTCTATGAGAGAGCTGCCTAATGGTATAGCAAACTTAGTTGTGCTACAATATGCAGGGGAAAGATGAGAAGAACAAGCACAAGAGGATATTTGTGGAGTATGTCAGTTTCACATTTCAAAAAACTATGGTATATTAATGTGAAGTTTATCTTTTTTATATACCACTATCACATAAAATGATGAGCAACATTTCATTACAAGTAGAATTGACAATTTTTAAAATAAGACAGATTATCTATTATGTTTACTATGATACTTAATTGATAATATTAAAAATAAGACAGATTATCTATTATGTTTATCATTGTGAGAAATTATTGTTACTTGGTGAGTGTTTCGTACTTCTTTGACTTTCCCAAGCTTTTTGATAATTGAAAATTTTAAATGAATAGAGAGTTGTAGGAGATGTAGACTAGGAGATGTGGACCAGTCAGGGTGATGGGTTAATTTATAATGAATAATACTTATATGGCTGGTATGATATTTGTCTCCATATCCATAAAAGAAAAGTTTTACCAACATAATCTTTATTTTATTTAATATTTTTTATAAAATAAAATTATCCTACAAATAAATTAAAAAGAGCTTAATATTATATCATAATTGGTTAATTTGCCTGTGCGTCCCGCGGTCATAAATAATGATTTCATTTAAACTGTAAATGATTTTTTACTTATATTCATATATTAAAAATAATGGAAAAATAGGTTCATAAAAAAATATTAGCAATATTTCAACATGAATTTGAATATTTGTCATTATCACATAAACCAAGAACCTCTAACAAATAAATTATTCACGAAATAATAAATCATTGGTTCTTTAATTAATATTAAAAGGAAAATAAAGAAGAAAATAAGAATAAATACATATACAAAGACATTTCATGATAAAAAGAATCATTTAAGTTGCTCAGATTATACAATTGTGATATATGTCTTAGAAGAAAATTCGAAAGTTTGTAAACATATTTAAAAAAGAAATTACGCTTGAACATGAAAACAATTACAACTTTTTAACATGCATAATGAATTTCTTCAATTGATAAGTGAAAAATTACGCATCTATGTAAAAATAGATAATATTTATGTTTATATATAGTACTTTTAAGTTATAAAATTTAATATAGAATATCAAAACATGAATTTTTGGAGCCAAGTACAATAATTATTTTATGCACAATGAATAAACGTACTATAAGTGTATATGTTCAATATAATCAGAGACAATAACTTTGCAGAAACATAAATAACAGTGTTTAAAACATGTACTCAAAAATAATAATTAATATCATATGCATAAGTTAATGAATATATAAAAATAGAATGAAATAGAAAAAAAAATCGACTGCACTCAATGCACAATATCACTTAAGAAAATTATTCCCCTCTAATACCAGAGATTTAAAGAATAACATCCTCTCGTGATGGAACAATTTTATTCACCAACTTATCCAAACAAAAACAACAACGTCAGTAAGTTATTCAACTGGAGCAAATCAAATGAATATTTTATTTTGCGGGAGTAGAAGAAGAAGATCGAACTTTTTAAAAAAATAAGAGATAATTCCTCTATTTATAGACAACAAAGGGTAGTGTAAAAAAATGTTTGTTATGCTTTATCAGAAATGTTACAACTATTTGAAAAATTTGCAAGCTATCAAAAAGTTCACATCCTTTCATAGAAGTTGCAACATTTCATAAAGGCGCAACTTTTCACTAAAGTCGCAACTTTTCATAAAAGTCACAACATTTTGAAAGATGTTGCAACTCTTCATAAAGTCACAACTTTTGATAAAACTAACAACTCTTCATTAAAGTCACAACTATTCATAAAAGTCACATCTATTAATGAATAACCGAAGGCTAATTTTAAAAATAAATAAATTTAAAATGAAATCCTTGCTTGTAATTGCCACATAGGAGGACCTATGATTCTCTTTTATATAAATATATGATACAATATGATTTTTGTTTGGATAAATAAATGGCAAAAAAAATTCTTTTCCACCTTGTTTTTTTCTCTTTTTTCCTGTCCATTCTTCCTTTTCTCTCTTATTTGTCTTTTTGTCCTCTTGTCCTATATTTTGTATTTTTTGGTCTTTTTCATCTTCTATCTTTTTAAAAAACTATTTTTCTTTTTTTTTCAATTTTTATTTAATTTTTCACTTACGGAGCTAAAGAATTCATCCATTTTACATAGAAATAAGGGTCAAAAACACATATAAAATATTGAGTTTTTTTAAGTTCAATACCTAAACTCTTGAGAGTGATTTTCATACCTAAACTATCAATTATTAGATTGACAAATACAGTAATGTACTCTCTATTTTATATGAAATTTTTTTTACACATGACATTGAACATGCATAAAATTTTTAATTTTTTTTTTACCCAGTTCACCTCGTCCTCCTTGTACTCCCCCTCCTCCACCCACCCACCCACAATCCACACCCTTTTATTTTTTTTTTAAATTTCTTTTATAATATATTTTTAAAAATTCATATTTCACCACCCCACTCCCCTCTCCAAAAAAAAATCACCTACTCACTCTAAAAAAGATTGATATTATTTTACTCTTAAAAAATAGAAATTCCACCCCCTCGTTGCTCATTCTCCGCTCGTAATTTTTTTTACATTTTTCTCGTTTTGTGTTTGATATGTATATATATTTTTAGAAACTTTTTCGTGTATCGAATATAACATAAAAAAGAAATTTATTATTAAAAATACTTGCGGTGGCAAATAAAACATATTTTCAATATGTATATTTCTAATAGAAAGCGATAATTTTTTTGTAAGCGGAGGGTTAGGTGGAGTGGTTAGAATTTATTTAAAAAAGTTAAAAAAATTTTTATATATATATATATATATATATATATATATATATATATATATTTCTAGAGATATTTAAACTAAAAAAAATGGGGAGGGGGGTACAGTGACAGAGTAAAATATTTTACATTTATTTTTAAAAAAAATTATTCTTCTAAAATTAAAATGACATAGATTAGCCAATTTTTTAACGAATGACATAGATGAGTCTTTTTTAAAAGTTCAATGACACATTTATGACAATTTAATGAATTATTAATGTTGATTTCTTATTTTTAGTCCACATATATGATAATGGATAAGAATGACAAGTGAAAAAAAAATTGAAGTATAAAAGATTAACTATTTGTGTTTTAATTTCTTACCACTTCTATATAGCGATAATTGCTAAAGTTTAAATTATATAAATGATCATGATATGCAAAAATACTTAAAGACAAGACAAAAGATCAGAATTACTTATTTGTTTGAGTGGTGCTGAGTTTCTTTTCAAGGTATGCTCAAAACTGAGTTTCTTTAACTTTCCTATACCACAAGTTATATTTTTAAAGTTATCTATGTTTGACATGTGAATTTTTGTGGCGAATGTATAATTTTATCTTTTACACATAAGAGATCTGACTCAATAAACAATCTTTGTACAATAATATCCATGTCTTATCCTTTACAATCATTTGGCTATCAATTCCGATTAATCTCATCATATTTATGCATGCTATCACTATTAGGCTTGAATTATGTGGGATCAGAGCACGACAAAGACTCACCATGCACTAACACCTATCCTCTTCAAGTTATCACCGAGATGCTAACATTTCCGGTATTGCAACTAGTGTCCTCACCTTAAAACAAAATCCTTATTTTTCACACAATGATTTCAGTTTGAGTATAAGGATCAACACTCGCTCTCAGATTAAATTCACGCTCATTCATACATATTGCCATAAGCTTTCCCTTATTTTCACTGCCTTAAGTTCGCTATACAACCCTTAGGATCACGGTAGGACTTTCTTAGCTTGTTACATAGGCTCAGGGTCAGGTAGGGTATATTTAAGTATACTTTAGTAACTTTTTGCCCTCCTTGACATATCGGCTAAACATACTATTTTCTATCATTTTATCTCGCCCAGTTTCTCATATTCTTTCACCTCGCTATTTTCTCTTCTTTCTTCATTTGTGTAAGTGACTCTCTTCTTTTCTTGCTTGTATTTCTTGTATTTTTTTCTTTTTTTTTCTTTACTTTTTTTCAACTAATTCTCGAGTCACTTTACTTTTGTTCTTTCTCTTTCTTTGTTCTTTCAACCGCATTTTCAAGAGCATTCCTCATAATATCCACCCTCAACTCATGACTCTGACACTTTCATTTGGTTTTCTTTTATATAGGCTAAAAATGAGTTATATTGAATAAGGGCCTATGATCCTTTCCTAATTGTCTATTATAACTTACTTTTAGCAGGACTAACCAGACAAGTTCTAGCTCAGTACAAATAGTGGACTATTCAAATCTTCCTCACACTCACTTGACATCTCATCACTCTACCAGATTATCAGACACCTAGTTCGAATATTAGACTTAGGGTAATGCAGTGGTGTACCTCTATGTCATGCTTAGAGCCACACATTTATCAATTACTAGGCCTAGTCATGCATCATTTTCCAATTTATCAGGATATCATTTTAGCCATCATGCTCCAGAATTAAACTAGGTACACAAGATATCGACATGCCGTTTCAACAGAAAAAGAAATCAGTCTCTTGGGGAAAAAGATAACAGGCAAGAAAACCCCAAAAGAGGATAGTGAATTGGGCTACTCAGACTTCCCCCTAGCAATTACTTTCCATTTGCCCCACCCCCAGCAAAAAGACATGCAATTGTCCCCAATGCATAAAAATTGAAATACTAGAGTGGTAGGTGAAGCAAACCTAGGGCGCAAAGTGCTGATGATCAGCGAGCTGGTGGGTTCGGTTCCCCGAAACCCACTTCCTCTGTAATCTGGACACCCTCAGTGGTGTCCTCAACAACAACAACACTATCAGCAGTGCCTCCCGCTATCTCCACAGTTCGGGAGCTAGACGCCTCAGCCGCTAACTCTCCTTCTCTTATCTGGCGCGCCTCCCCAGCAGCGACACCAAAATTTGATACGCTCAAACTTACTTCTCAAATAAGAAGTATACCGGTCGTGTCAAGTAAATAACCCAATTAGTGAGGTTGGGATCGTTCCCACGAGTAAAATAGTTTAGACATAACTTCAATCTACTATTACTATTGTTCAGTCAATTACTTCCTTGGAAAGCAAAAACAATAAAATGGGGGTTTCTATTTCTAAATAAACTAGCGAAATTGAAAGAGACACTTAACAACTACAAATCTTGGAGTTTATTCAATTAATCAAAGTAACTAGGGTTTACGTGTACCCCCACAGGTTCATAACTTGATA